TGAATTAACCGATTAAAAAATAGCTTTTAAATCTATGCTCTCTCAAACTCAAAATAAAATGAAGAAAATTTGGTACCATTTATTAGAATCAATCAAATAAATATTTGATATAATTGAACAGGAAAATAAATCATATATCAATCTTATCAACGAAAGTATGAATCCAGCAGAATCCTCCTATACGGATTTAGAAAGATTGGTAATCATTGTAGAAGGAAAAACATTAAATGATAGGAATGATTATAAAAAATCTTATCTGATGGAACTTGAATAGACTATGAATTATTGGGAATAAGAAATTAAAGATTTTCTCTATAAATCGAAAGAATGAATGACAAAGATTTAATCATTAATTAAGTAGAAAATTTAGATCTTATTATCGAATTTGACCTTATTATGAAGAAGGTGAAATTTATGAAAGAAAAGAAAACTTTTACTAAATATTAGCCTATATTCAGGATCTTGATGAATCAGTATTCAAGGTGATTATTGAATTACTTAGAAAAGAAAAGATTTCAGATATCCTAGGATTTCTTTCAAAGATTTTCAATTTAAGGTTTTACGAATCATTCTTTAATAATTTATAAAAAATTAGTGATTTGAAAAAGAATATTAAGAGAATCACTAATGTTTTGAAAAATATCTAAGATCATCCAATTAGTAAAATTGACTATTCTACAGAAGCATACGAAAAGTCAAAATAAGATCTAATCAATAAAATATCAGGAAATAAAAAGATCATTAATTTTTAAACATTTTTAGTTCACATCACAAGTGTTGATGAAAAATTCATTTAATGTGGATCGAATGGGCTAAATTTATTAGTAGGGATGAGAGAAAACTTAACGACTCAATTTTTGAAGACATCAAGATCTAAAATACTTCTTTAATAGACGCTAATTTTGTAAAATGCAATTCGAATGGATCGGAATTCAATAATGTAGACATTAGTGGAATAAATTTGAATGGAGCTCTACTCTTTAATTGCAAATGGAAGAATATTAAAATCCTTGAATTAAATAAATTGGAAGGTCATAGGTTCGATCAGTATGCTTCTCTTCTGATGGTACTACATTAGCATCTGGTAGTTGGGATAACTCAATTCGTTTATGGGACGTTAAGACAGGATAATAAAAAGCCAAATTGGAGGGTCATACTCATTGGGTTTACTCGGTATGCTTCTCTCCTGATGGTACTATAATAGCATCTGGTAGTGATGACAGTTCTATCCGTCTATGGGATGTTGAGACAAGATAATAAAAGTTCAAATTGGATAGCCATAGTAATTCAGTCATATCAGTAAGATGGTACTACTTAAGCATCTGGAAATGCTGCTTCCATTTGTTTTTTAATTTTAAAAGGAGAATTTATGAATC